AGCTACCAGCTCGCTGCTGTTTGCTCTTATCAAGCACAGGATAACGGAAATGTGGTTGGTTTTACAGCCAGATGGATCTGAGTTCAAACCCTAGTTCCATCTGTTTCTGGATTGAATGAACCATTAAGCTCTCTGAGCCACGGTTTACTTATCCGTCCAGAGTAAACATTCAACAAGCATTAGATTCCTGTTCTCTTTTCATTATCATTGCAACACCAGTGATACCTAGAGTTTTCTAGGCGTGACTGATAGTCATCTGAGGGTCCTAGGGTATAATATGGTTTCCCAACATTTTGTGGCTGAAGCACTAAAACTCAACTGTACAAGCCCTGAGAGTAAGAGAAATCATCCCTTTTTAGAGGTGAATTCGCCTTCGTGTAGTAAATATTTTACTCCCAGAATGTATTTTGCTGACACAGTATCACAGTTCTACAACTCGGGGAGCTAAGCTAAAAATGGAGAAGTGGAGATAGACTAGCTTCTCTCCAGCACCCAAATGAGGATAGCAACCTTTTCCTGGGAGGAAGTGGCCCCATTTGGGGAGGTGACCAAATTCCAAGTGCTCTGCCAGCCCACGCCTGGTAGACTAGCACCTAGCAGGAGATATGACTGTTTCCATTCAAGCACGTTAGACCCCAACCCACACTCCTGGAATGGTAAACACCATGCCTGAAGCCTTAAGCAACCTGCCTAACTCCAAGCTTCCATGTCCTTTCTTTTTTTTTAAAAGATTTTATTTATTATTTGACAGAGAGAATGAGAGAGAGAGAGCACATGAGAGGGGGGAGGGTCAGAGGGAGAAGCAGACTCCCCGCCGAGCAGGGAGCCTGATGCGGGACTCGATCCCGGGACTCCGGGATCATGACCTGAGCCGAAGGCAGTCGCTCAACCGACTGAGCCACCCAGGCGCCCCAAGCTTCCATGTCCTTTCAAAGGAAACTAAGCTGTTTGCAAAGACAACACTTTGACCAGTCCCAATAGGGCTAGACCAGGAGACTAGCTTGGTTTCCAGTCATAGCAATAACCACTCCAGCATTGCTCACTGCAGAAGGTCCCCACCCCTGGGTAGCCCTCCAACCTCAGGGTTTTTCTTCCCTTCTTTAACGTATCAAAACATATCTGTTGTATGGCTCATTCCCTCAGATCTTTGCCAACCACTCAGTCAACCAACCAACCTGATAATGTAATGCATGCTTGCCCATCACAGCATTTCCCAAATAATGTGTTTGTTTTTTTTTTAAGCAGAGGCCTCTTTGAGACAAACTACCTGCCTCGACAGAAAAAAAAAAAAAAAAGTACATCTAAAAATTCTGGTGGAGTAAGTTTGGTTGAGAAGATATTTCTCTGTTCTAGAAATCTAATCAGTTTCGGTTTGGCTAAAAGTATACCATACCATAAACATTGGCCTCGGGTCTTGAAGCAGTTAGGATTCCACAGGAAACGTGGCTATAGATACATCTAAATTCTTGCCATGTTGCATTAAGCTTCTGGGTAGGGGGAATTATAATTGCAATGCTTTCATCATTTTGTGCATTTTTTTCACCAGGCTGCATAAAACATCATTATAAAGTTCCTTTTTTGGGGGGGTGGGGGGAGATTTCTGGGAGGAAGACTCTATTTTATCAATCCACACTTTTAGAAACATTATGGTTCCAAGCTTTTTAAAGGAATTTCTTTTTTCTCTTCTGTTTTCTTTAGCTGACCTTCAGAGACTGACCCATAAAATTGTGCCTGACGTATGCAAAGCCTAAACAGAAAAGAAACACGTATTCATTTCACCTTGGGTTACTCCCAACACTCTACCTCCTGCTTTTGAAAGGTGCATAGCAATATTACCACCATGGAGGTTTCTGTTCAAGATCCTGATAGACTATAATTCAGGGCTTACTGAAAAACCACTGAGGGAACATTCCCAGAGGAGCTTACCCTCCTCCCACGGGCCCCAAACCTTGGTGATTTGCACCCCAAAATAGATCGGCACACATACCTCACTGCTGCTCAATTTCAGTCCCAGTCACACCTGTATCTTATGCATTTTATAGACACTTGAATATTGAGGACATTTCTTAGAAACAGATCTGTTTAAACTTTTACTAGGTTGGCCAGAGAGAAGGCACTGACATGGCTGGGGCCAAGGCCACTAATTCTGAGAACTGACCCCTAATGATAGCAAGGACTGTCATTTTTGTCCAGGTTCAGAGGGATGGAATTGTTTGTTCAAACCTCTGCTTCCCTGTGCCATGAGACAGCTCAAACAGTGGAGAGAGGCCTGGCTGAGGAGTCAGGAGACCCAAGACTCTGCCAAGAGCTAGATGTGGTGTGAAGGTTCCAAACTAGTCGCGAAGGCTCAGTTTCCCTGATTGCAAAATGAGGTTGGGTATGGCGAGCTTGGCCTGTATCAGACTCAACCTTCTCGTTGTTGGGACGTGGGGAGTGGGAGGCTTTCCCTTCCAAGAAACAGAGGAGAGGTGTGGACCTTCTCCCTGGAAAGTAAACTGAGATCCAAAATGTTACCCAGAATTGATGGCCCAGGAGTATCAGCTTAAAACTGCCAAGCAAGGTACCCTCAAAACCTCCTTCTCCCAGTAAAATGACAGCAAAATAAATAATTGATTCTTCTTTCTAAAACTCTCATGGCTGTTCTTGAGTCTTCTCTTCCTCTCATCTCCACCCCCACCCCCACATCTCATCCGCCATGATTACCTGTCATATGAACCCAAGAGAGATGTAAAGGTCCATTTCTCTCTACCTGACCCACCTCCCATCTACTCCAAGCCGCCATGGCAGCCCTCACCGACACCTCTCACTCTGATCTCCTATGGTCCATTCCGTCATACACATGACTCCTCAGCCATGGGATCTCTCAGCCCATTGCCCACCACTCTCCACCACCAGTGTTACCCTCCTGCTTTTTGTCCCTTGTATCTGCAAAACTCATTCCTGCCCCAAGGTCCCCTCTGCCCAGACCACTCCATCCCCATTGGCTCACATACAGTCTCAGTTCAAATGCCAACCCCTCACCCCATGCAGAGAAGCCTGCCTCTAACACTTGCTTCCCATCATCCTGCCTTGATGTCTTCACAGCATTTATCATTGACTAGCATGATCCTGTTTCTGTATGGTTTCCTAGTTTACAGTCTGTCCCTCTTCCCTCCCTCCCCATCCCTGCCAACAAACTCTAAGTCCTACCAGAGGAGGGTCCTTGCCTGTCTTGCTTACTATGCATCCAAGCCATGGTGGCTGCTTACTATATATTTGTTGAATTCACTAAATAAAATAATAGTTAAATCATTCCTCTGACATTATATAATAAAACTAGCAGACTGGCTCCTATTTTGAAATATTTTAATTGATTCTCATGAAGACATCAGTGGAATGCCATTAATTAGGCCCTAGAATTTATTTCTCCAGATTAAATTACTCTTATTCCTCTGAGCCTTCTCACCAGTGCTATTCTTGTCCTCTTAATCACTTTCCAGGACCTTCCCTGGAGGCTCTCCTATTTCTCCTTGTCCTCCTGAGAAGCTGAATAACCTTGTTCTTAGAGGGACCCACTGTAAACCCGCAGAGGAGTTAGGGCAATAATTCTGCATGGCAGAGGGCTTCAGAGTTTGGTTTCCTAAGCTGGTGTAGCTTCATCCAGCCACTTTCTAGCAAGGTGTCCTTGCATGACGTCCTCTCTCTGTGTCTTGGTCTCCTCCTCTATAAACCAGGGATGACAAAATCATCTCACAGGGCTGTCTGTAGTGAGGCTTCACAGAGCTTTCTCCTGCACAGCATTAGGCACAGGGCCCGGTGCACAGTAAAACCTCAGTAAATAACGACTAACTATTGCGAATAATGAAGCTAACACTACAGCTACTTGAAAGAAACAAGAGGAGAGCAGCAAAAGGCAGCTGAGCGGTATGCAGAAGTCCCATTAGATGATTTTGGATTTTGTAGGGAAGAAAAGATAAATGAGGGAACAGGTTATTTATGAAAACTCTGAACAAAGCAAAGAGGAAATGAGAGCCTATCTGCAGCCTGTTATTGGAGTGGCACTCATGAAACAGACATCACTAATTGTAGCGTGCCTAGTGAAAGAGTGCGCGGAACATGGAAGGGAAGCAAGTGCAGGGGGGCTAAAGGTGAAGCTGCTTGAAAGGAAATAACACCTCCTTTCACTTGGTGCAAGATGAGCTAATGCAGGGATGTCAACCTGGGTTTCACACACTAGCCTTTTCAAATGCAGAGTTCCTCAGCCCTCTGAGGAGTGGCAGAGGCTTGGCTGTGTTTTCTTCAATGGCCCCAGGACCTCCACAGAGACACTCCAGCAGCCTCCCTGTTAACGGAAGGCCTCAGAGGCCCCATTTGGCTGTGAGAGTCCTTGGAGGATACACGTGCACCAAACTCAGAATGACTATTTGGAGGTGGCTTATATTTAGAGCACACACTGCAACAATGATATAGCACCCTGAGGGCCCCCCAGAAATGACAATCTTCAAATGGAGTTGGGTGAGCCTCCAAAGATCTAGAGAGCAGGTTCCATCAGGCCACCCACACAGTGGAATACTGAGCAGACACAGAAAAAGCATAAATCAGATTCCAGTGTTTTGACATAGAAAGATGCCCAAATGTATGGCTTACAGACAAAAGCAAGGTGTAAGACGCTCTGTGGGATCCAGGTCAGGGAGAACCTTACCTCTCTTCCGCCTCTTCCCTCTACACATGCAGGGAGGAGTCCTGCAGCAAACACCTCCCATCTCTGTCCCCATCCCCGACTCGTCCCTGACTCATGCCTCCCCAGGACAGGTGGCCATCCCCTGTGCCATGTTTCCTAAAGAACAGGAAAGTGGGGAAAGAATCCAAGGCCTCCTGGATCTTGAGCTGCCTGCTCCCAGGTATGGCAGGTGCTCATCCCATCTCTCAGGCTACCTCTCGGGTCCTTCCCTGGGCTTCTTGTCCCCAGGTGGGAAACCAGTAGGAGAGGGGCAAGGAGAGGTGAGCAGACATACCCTTCTTTCTCTCTCTCTCTCTCTGTCCAGCTCCTCTTCCTCCTGTATCAGGGAGTGGGGCATCAGGCCAGTCCTGCCCTTCTATGAGCCTCGCTACTCCAATTCAAGCTTCCATTTTGGCCTTAACCTGAGCCAACTGCTCCAATCCAACCATTATCAGAAAGCTGTGAAAAATATAAAAGTTAAAGATAAAATATTAATAATTGATATTTGTATAATTGTATACAAATACAAATTCAATTGTATAATTGAATGTAGGCTAGTCCCTTTGAATGCAGGCTAGCCTGGGGACTTGCTTACAGCCAGCAGAATATGGCAAGAGTGATAGGATGTCCCTTTGTGACAGATAGTAATTTCCAGACTGGCAGACTCTCTCTCTCTCGCTGGCTCTGATGAAGCCAGCTGCCAAGGAGAAGCCCACACAGCAAGGAACTGAGGGAAGCCCCTGGCCAAAGGCCAGGAAGGATCTGAGGCCTTCCGCAGTCCAAGGACTCACAAGGACTGCCAACTACCACGTGCACTTGGAAATGGGTCCATCCTCAGCCCAGTCTCAGGGGAGCCCCACATGACACCTTTGTTATGGACTTTCGATACCCTGAGTAAAGGGCCTAGCAAGCTACACCTGGACTCCTGACCTGAAGAACCTTCGAGATGATAAATGTGTGTTTCCCTAAGTCCTGAAGTTTATGGTAATTTGTTACACAGCAATAGACAACAAAAATAAGTAGCAACAGTAATAAAACGAGAGGCTATACAGTTTGGTGGTTAAGGGCCCTGAAGCCCAACTGCCTGGGTCCAAATTCTGCTCCCCACTCCTTCTACTTGACCTCTCTAATACTAAATTTCCTCATCTTTAGCACACGGGTAGGACTAGACCCCACCCCAGCCTCGTAGGAGGGACCCTAAGAGTTAACGCAGGTGAAGTTCTTGAAACAATGTGTGTCTCGTCAGGGCCCAATAAAGATGGGTGCTTGCTGGTTTGTGTCTGCTCACGCTCCTTGCTCTTGCCTCCAAAATACTGGGATCAGTCATCTCTTAGGAGTATTGTGGGAATTTCCACATTTGAAGATAAAACTTTTCTATTTTTTTATAATAAGCATTTATAATTTTATATTTGCAAAAAGCAATGAAGTTCTTTTTAAAATTCATATTAGCTTTCTGTTGGGCCCTTCTGAGGATGGGCTCTCTCTCAGGTTGCTATAAATGACAAATACCTGTGCAAACCAGCTTAAAGTGGGGAAGGAGTTATAGAATGGACTCTGAGTGCAGCACAGAATAGGAGGCTAGTAAATGTCCAGGGGTCTTGGGGGAAGCTGGGCTGGAGCCAGCTAGTGTGGCTGATGCAGCAGGAAAGGCCTCAGCCTCTCCTTGGCCACATGATCTTTCCTTTTGGCTTTTCTCCATTCAGGGTAGGTGGTGGTGACCCATGTTCTTTCTATGACCAGACATCCACAAAACTGATTACCTACTCCTTGTCGCAATTCCAAATTCCCTGAGAAGGGAATCTGATTGGTCAGATGAACACTCATGATCCCACCAGCAATGATCATGAGAAGGGAGCAGGGTCCCTCAGTGTAGACTGGATAGTTAAGACTACACCAGGTAGTGGAAGGATGGGTTGCCAAGAGGAGGGGAAAGAGCATGCCCAAAGTGTGTCTATATAAAGTCCATCCCTTCTTTTTACTAAGGAACAGCAACGGGATTGAGAACAAGGCCCAAGAAGCTTCCAGAGACTTCAGACAAGAGATAGTGTTTGCCATGAATACTGGAGCCACTAGAAATATCTCATTTGGAAATGAATTTAACAAGTCCTTTTAAATGGCTGGATTCATCCTTTTCTTCTTGATACCCTAATCCATATGAGGTTGTTGCTATCCTATTGGGCACAGAATATCAAGTAAAAGAAGGTGGCTCTGCCCAGTTGATACTCAGCCTCAGTGTGGCAAGTCCAACAACGTTTGTGAGGCCACGGATATTGGTACTTACAGTGCCAGTTCGTGGGCCAGTGTGCACATTATCTATAACCTAACTCAAAAAAAAAATGTGTCCGTCTTGCTTTGTCCTCATAAAAGTAACAATTTCAAACAAAGTACGGGCCCAGGTCCAAGGCAAACTCTGCATCTCATGCACTGATGCTAAAGATATAAAATACCGTTTAGGGCGCCTGGGTGCCTCAGATGGTTAAGCGTCTGCCTTCGGCTCAGGTCATGATCCCAGGGTCCTGGGATCGAGTCCCGCATCGGGCTCCCTGCTCCTTGGGAGCCTGCTTCTCCCTCTGCCTCTCTCTCTCTCTCTGTCTCTCATGAATAAATAAATAAAATCTTAAAAAAAAAAAATACCGTTCAACTTGAAATTATACCTCACTTAGTAGAAACATTATCTGCAATTAGCATAATTATCCAATGCAAATTCAAAGGGGAAAAACTAATTACTAGGATCATAGGTTCTCTAGATTGGAAGGAAACTCACAGGTTAGTGTAAATGCCCACCCTCTCCCCTCGCTCTCCCCAACCCCCAGCCAGTATAGGAATCCCCTTTACTAAAAAAAAAAAAAAAAAAAAAAAAAGGAATCCCTTTTACTGTGTGCCTACCAGGTAGATGCTGATTCTGCTTCCCATCTCCATCAGAGCAGCACCTACCATTTCTAGATAACTACAGCCATCAAGAAATCTTGACTCAAGTAGGACAAAAATTTGGCTTCCTCATAAAGTCTACCACTTGGTACAACATCTGCTCAGACTCTGTGTCTGGAACCTCATAAACCCTTTTCTGCATACCAAGGAGAAGTATCTTCTCATATTTGGAAGTAAGCTATGCCCAATGGCAGATACACTTAGTTGCCCACCCGACTGCCATTTCTCACGCCTCCTCTTTCTGAGCTAAGAGAATGCCAATTTTGTTTCCTTATGAGACGTGCAGAAATACACCCATGAAGGAAAGACATCCCTTCCCCAGGCCCAGAGATAAGGTTTAGTCAGTCTTTGAAACTGAAGGGCCAAAGGGACAGGCATCTGACACACCCTGGCTAGAGACAGAAGGGAAGAAACTTCTGGAAAAGTTTTTGGTCCCTGATGGTTTGAAAGAGCCCACTGACTCTGCCTCTTCCCACTACTCCCTTGAATGTGGTTGCGTGAACTGTGATGCTTGGATCCCTGGCAATCATCTTGGTTCCATGAGGTGACAAACTTAAGGTCAAGAAGCCAACATGCTGAGAATGCAGAACCTAAGTCTAGAAGGAGCCTAGGCCTTAGAAGATATCAGTCAGCCACTGCTGCTCACCCTGGAGGGGCCTACCTCCAGACATCTTATTCTATTAGATGATCACATTTGTATCCAGACATCTTATTCTATTAGATGATCACATTTGTATCACCTAACCACTGTGAGCTGAGCTTTCTGTAAGTTGTAATGGAACACATTTTAACCAAGAACTGCTCACCAAAGCTGTAGGTTCCATCTGCCTAGATTCATATGACATTTCGAGTCCTGACCTCAGCCCCACCATCCTAACCTGTCTCCTCAATACAATCCCTATTAGTCAGGTGTGGTGAAGAAAACCCCACATGCCCCCCACCAGTGAAAGCTGCCCAAGACAGAGCTGTGTCTTCTCTATTCTCACACTCCCAATTTCACTTTCTTGGCAGCCACCTCACCTCGAGGTTGCCGTTGGCTACAATGCATGACTCTTTCCCAGGTGCCTAGGCTGCGTCCCTTACCTGCCATTCTTCCTGCAAGATGCCATTCGGACCCAAGTGCTAGACTTTGTGTTGATCTCTGTCATGGATCAGGTTGCTTCTCAGCCTAAAAACATTGCTTTGGCTCATTATTCTTTCATCCAGTCTATTAGCTCTACTCACAGCCCCGTGGCAGCCTGGAAATCTGATCAGCATGCCATCAATGTACTCACCCACTCAGCTCTGAAAAAAAACAAAACAACACTGAATAAGACAGCAACTAGAGACTAAATGCAAACACAATACTAGCAGTTGGTCTGACAATGACAGCAGACCTACCAGTGTCTCCAAAAATATACCAACTTGATACCCATTTGGATTGAACCTGTCCTGGTATTAATGCTAGCAGGAGAAGAAGGGCAGATCCATCCCACAGGTGTTAACAGTGCTGAGGAGGGAATAGTAAAGGGTGCCCGACATACCCCACATGCGTCATTATTATGGCAGCAGTCAGCCTCCCCATTCTGGGTGCTCTACAGTTGCAGCTTGTTAGGTTATGTGCAACAAAACCCAAGTTGAAAGGAAGTCCTGGAGATTTAAGAGCTTTGCTCTAAAAAGACTGCGTTTTATAGAATGCAGCCATTTGCTCCATAACAATAGAACATTGTCATGATTTATAAAGCAAAGCAAAGATATATGGTCTGCCATCCTAAATAACACATATATTTTTATTCTAGGCATAATAAGCAGATCTAAAGTAAAGAGATCTCCTAGATGAAATCAGATACCTGTGATACAAAGAATGCATGAGATAAAGAAAGAAAGAAAAAACGGGAAAAGGAAAATAAATTCTAGAAAGGCAACAGAATACCTGCTTTTGCATTTCCTAAACTTTACCTTTCTGTCTTATTGACCACATTCAGGTTCGTCTCCAACGCCCACCACCATTCTGCCATATTGCCCCTAGCACCACCACCACCAACCTCATCACTCCACAATTACCAACACCACTAACACCATTGTTAACCACTACCATCATCAACACCATCACTTTGCCTACCACCATCCACGTGAACAACATCCATGCTCTTCCCTGAGCACTGCCCCACGTTCTCTAGAGGACAAGAAGACCTGGGCTATAGTCCTGGTTCTGCTTAGTAATTGAACTGGTGACCTTGGGCAAGTCAACTTACTCTTTTGCATCTCAGATCACTAAATACATATTGAATGAATGAAAGAATTAATTAATATTATATGGAACTGGGGCGCCTGGGTGGCTCAGTCGGTTAAGCGTCTGCCTTCGGCTCAGGTCATGATCCCAGGGTCCTGGGATCGAGCCCCGCATCGGGCTCCCTGCTCCGCGGGAAGCCTGCTTCTCCCTCTCCCACTCCCCCTACTTGTGTTCCCTCTCTCGCTGTGTCTCTCTCTGTCAAATAAATAAATAAAATCTTTAAAAAAAAAAAATATTATATGGAACTATTTTGTGTCTGTCCTTCTTAAGGTCAACAGAGATACAATACAAATTATGCTAAGAAGCTCATACTTTTCTAGTGCTCAGGGTTTGCAAATTAACTTCCTATACATGATATCTTTAAATACTGCCCTGAAAAAAAACTGTGAGCTATTATTTCCCTCAGTGTCTTCTATGTCAAGGCTGGCTTTTATTTTTTCTTTTTGTTTTGATCCAGGATCTAATCAATATGGCAGTTACTTATCTGCCTCTCTAGTCTGGAATAGTTCCCCATCTTTGTTTTGCATTGCTTTTCATGACATCAATATTTTAAAAGAATTCAAGCTAGTTGTTTTACACAATACCCTTAAATTTGTATTTGCCTGAGTTATTCCTCATGATTAGATTTCGGTGAAACTTTCTGGCAAGAGTTTGGCATGATGGGTGCTATGTTTTTCTCAGTGCCTGACATCAGTAGGCACCTGTCCTCTGCTCTGGCAACTTTGATTACATTGTTAAAGGGCTAACCATCATTTCTCCATCATAAAGTTACTTGTTTCTCTTTGTACTGAGTAAATAATCTGTGGGACATATGAAAATCATTTTTAAAATATGAAGGGCTTGAGAAATCTGTGAGATGTATAAAAACTTTTTCAATATCAAAAGTTCAAGGCATTTTAAGTGCCACAGAGGCGAGTCAGCATTAAGTACTGTCTCCCATCAGTGTTCAGCCCCAGGGAATAGAGGCTCTGGCTGAGCTGGGCCCCATTCCCCACGTTGCTTTATTCCTCCAGGGTAGGAATCCTTAACCAGGAACTGGGAAGTCCCCTGTGACTATATGCAGGAAACAGTGAGCACCCATAGCTTCCAGTGTGTTCTCAAAGGTATCCCTGTCTGAAAACATTAAGAATCACTCTTCCGTGCTAACATTGTTAATAAAGACCTAGAAGTCAGGGAGGAAAATCAGACTGAGGGAAAGAAATGAGTTTTATTTTTGACTGACTGTTGTAAGGTTATAGAGGGTCATCTAGGAGGACTTGTCTCAAAGATACTTAGAAATATGCATTTTCTTCACGGCACTTGGTATTTTGAAATCACTTAACTTGTTTAATGTCTGTCTGTCTTCCTTCCTTCGAATGAAGCTCCTTGAAGGCAAGGTCTGTTTCTGAATGTTTATTTCAGCCCTACATCACCAGGACCAGGCACAGTTCCTGGCACACGGGAGGTTCTCAACTAATTTTACTGAATGAAGGAAAAAAAAAAGAACAGACAGATGCATCAATGAGAATGGTTGGGAGAGAGAGAATGGAAAAGGTGGGAGTGGAAAAGGGACCATTTTTAAGTTTAAAAAATCTTTGCTGAAGGAACACAGGACTGAATTCATAGAGGCACCATTTTTTTTCCACACAAAAGAAAATGGAATCACAGTTAACATGAATCCATTTTGACATGATATGCAAGACTGAATTCTGGTGTTAACTTTTGACACTACCTGAGCCTAAAATCAAAGTAAATTTGCATTATTCTTAGATAGAACCAGAAATTTAAATTTCAACATGCTGATCCAATAGAGGGTAGCCCAGGGCACGACAAGGCAGGCGTTTTGGTAAACCGAGGAAACCATGACTAAGCACATTTCCAGCATTAGGGATACAGGTGTGTGAGGCCAGGGGCTGAGGTACTTGCCCAGAGAACATTCCCAAAGCCAGCAGCTCCTCTTTGGCTAGAGCCTTTGCCGCACCAGCAGGCTGCTTCCCTTGCCCTCGTTCTCTTGCTAACAAAATGAGGGAGGTGGACTTGGTGGGAAAAGGACTAGCTCAGCATCTGAGGACTTGGGGCCAAGTGCCCATTCTGCCCCAAGCCAACTGAACACCCCTGCACAAGCCACTGCTTTGTCCTCGGTGTCCCACTCTGCTGATGAAGGGCTAACAAGATCTCTGACTTCCCACCCGGCACCAAAGTCAGCTGCCTCGTGAAAGGCCAAACGAGCTGCCAAGCGCCCCTCCTCTCCTTCCTCCTCTGGGGATCGATGCCAAGGTCTAGCCCAATGGGCTTAGTCAGGAAGCACCTGACTGTTTGAATCATAGATGCCAGGTGAAAAAGCCAGGATTTGCTTCAAGCAATGACCTTCCTTATTGAGGCCCCAAAACGGATTCATAGGCGGGAAAAATCCTTCTAAGTAAGGCTGGTGAAGGCTGCAATGCCTCCCACACTGGACACGATGACGTCAGAAGCCTCTTCCCCAAGTACCGATTCTACATGAAGCTGAACGTCACCGAGCACAGGCTCCCGGGAGACCTGAGTCACCACGGACCGTGGGACAGAGGAAGCCAACCCACTCCCCTCCCCCAGCTCCTAGCAAAGTGGGATTCAGTTTGTGGGGAGAGCTGGACAGCAGCTAGGATTCAGTGTCCAAGGCTGCAGAAATGAAAATCTCCTTAGAAATGCTTTCATCTCTCTTTCTCTTCTCTCCATTAACCTGATTCCCCACCAGGTTTTTCTCAGTAATTTGGGAGACTACAAAATTCAATCCTTATTCACTGTTCATTGAGAGTTTAAGGACGCTGTTCTGAGCACTCTGCATGTATTGAATTCCTATAACACAGGGTAGGTAGGTATTGTCACCACCCCTATTTGCATCTGAGGAAACAGAGGCCCAGCATGGTCAGGGAGTCAATAGTCTGAGCTCCACAAACACAGTGGTCAACAGCCCTGACCAGTCCCTACTGTTAAGAAGCTGACTTTTCTAGAAGGGGGCCCAGAAAATGAGCAAAAGAACAAACAAGATAGGGGCGCCTGGGTGGCTCAGTCGTTAAGCGTCTGCCTTCGGCTCAGGTTATGATCCCAGGATCCTGGGATCGAGTCCCACATCGGGCTCCCTGCTCGGCAGGAAGCCTGCTTCTCCCTCTCCCACTCCCCCTGCTTGTGTTCCTGCTCTCGCTATCTCTCTCTCTGTCAAATAAATAAATAAAAATCTTTAAAAAAAAAGAACAAACAAGATACTTTCAGGAACAGATAACAGCAGTGAAGAAATCAAGTAAAGACTTGTCCATCTTGTCCGAGGTCACATCATGGGTCCCAGCGCCAGAATCTGTGTGGTTCTTCCCAAAGGGGCTCACCCGTCATTTCCAACGCGGCTCCTCTGGGGGAACTGGTGTGAATTGTTACACACAAGCTAACATAGAAAAGAAGAATCTCAAAAACAAAAAACCTTTCTTTTTAAAAACTTTTAGCAAGTACATAATAATAACTGCACGACTGAGAATCCTCTTATCTACATACGTGCCTAAACTGTACTTTCTTTTTTTTCTTTTCTAATTTTTATTTAAGTTCTATAAATAGTTCACATACAATGCACTACTGGTTTCAGGAGTAGAATTCAGTGATTCATAACCGACATACAACACCCACATCATATCAAGTACCCTCCTTAATGCCCATCCCCCACCTAGCCCATCCCCCACCCACCTCCCTCCATCACCCCGCAGAAACTCTGTACTTTCTTAGGATGCAGCCTGAGGGGTGGGGTTTCCGGTTCAAAGGTTATGCAAAAAAAAAAAAAAAAAAAAAACCTTTATCCAAAAATACAGATCTTGTAACTGTTTAAATTATTCCCACAAAGACCACCTGTGTAAACTTCTGCCAGTACCATTGCCGATTCCAGAGTATTAATCACTGACATGAATTTTTGAGAGTTTGGTGGGAGAAAGAAAAATGGGATCTTGTTGCTGCCTTCCTTCGCATTCCTTAATTATTAATAGAGTTTTTTAAATCCTTATTTTAAATAATTTTTCT